TATATATATATATATATATATATTATATATATATATATATATATATATATATATATATATATATATATATATTTATATATATATATTTATATTTATAATTATAGTAAATTATATTTATTTATTGTATGTTTGGTGATACAAAGTTTAGTTGAGCAGTGAAATAATCAATGAAAATCAGTGCAGCAGTCAATGTGTTAAGAGAGAGGTCAAAACTAAAGAAATATCTTACGAATTTATGACTGACATGTTAGAAAGAGCTGGGAATAATTACCTGATTCAAGTACTGCATCATTTCATCAGGAATAACGAGTTTGTTCTCCACCATTTCACCTTCGCCTACCTCATCCAGGATCACTTCCTGATTAGGATGAAGCTCAGGCAACTGTGCTGATCTCGGTCTAGGCGAAATCGGAGGAGAGTTTCGTTGAGCCTGATTGATGCGAGTAGGTTCCGACATTCGTCGGTCACCTGATGGTTGGGTGCAATGGCCGCTCGGATTGTTCCAATCGCCTGGCATCGCTTGAATACTCTGGGAATGACATGCGTTGTATCATAAAAAAATGTTGCTTATCAAGCCGTGGATTTTAGTCAGAGTGGGAATATGTAGTCTATTTCTATAAGAAAGACTTCACAACTTAGCAGAAAAGCAAAAAGCAAGAAGACAAAAGCCAATCAGAAGCTCGCTTCGGTGGTAGTAGAATAGTTTCTATTATTCTATGATTTCTTCACAATCTTCACGAGAGACTTACCTGAAGGGACATATTTTGCGTCTGAACGACAAGATTGCTTGTTGAGTAAGGTCCTTGAAGGTGACTCGGCGGATTCATCCTGCCGGAAGTGGTACTCATTTGGCTGCTTCTTCTGGACGTGCCAGCACTGATCGGATCGTAGAAACTTCCAGGTCCCGCAGGACCTATTCTGACGGCGCTGACGGCGCTCGCTTGGCTGCTTCTTCTGCTGCCGAAATCCATGGATCTCATGCTTCCGTAGGAAGTGCTCTCGGTGCTGTTGCTGTCCCTTCGTGGCTCACTGAGAGGTTGCAATCTCAACTGCAGGTCAGACAGACTGGTCTGTCGCGTTTGACCGCCGCCACCGCCGCCCTCCATCTTCAAGTCGGTGATCCTTCTGTTGAGATCGCCGATATTGCCTTGAGGTGTGACCCCGCGAACACCTCGTACGTTCCCTACGCCGATCGGCAGGTTTGGCACGCCTTTGACGTTCAGTCGACCTTTCAGACGGTTTCTCGATGTTGGCGGTGGTGCCTGCTGCTGTTGCTGCGACTCCATTCCACCGACCTGAAAAAAACAATTGACAGGCATAAGTTTATCTGATGGATGAAGTTGACGGTCTACAATAAAATCATTAAAAGAGAAAAGAAAGATGGAGATATATAGATTATAAATAATAGGTACATAAGAAGAAAAAGAGATTCCTTTTAAATAGATAAAATATTGAACAAATTATAAACAAAAAAGTATAATCATATATATTCAAGTTGGGTAGCAATTGTCGAGATTAAATTATATTTGCGTAATGTGATTTTAGACGGTTCTACTTAATCATAAAATGATTAGTTCCGACATGGGAGAATTCGCAAAAACGGGCACTCGCCATAACTCTTGCAACGATTTTAAATACGATATTACGACTAAAAAGTCGCACGTCTTCCCCGCTTTTTTATCATCCGGCTATCACCATTTAGTCGTGATGAAAAGCCCAATTTAATTTGTGTTTTAAAATCTCGAGAGTTTCATTTTTATTCAATAAAATATAAAAAGGAGGAAGAAATATAAATAGAAATACATGCAAATCTACGAAAGCACTTCACTTGTGCCTAATTTAAGGTTTTCAACAAATGTATTGAAATATCACATTAATAGTAAGAACAAGACCGACTTGAGCGAGGTGGTTTCGTGAAACTTCGTGGTTTGATCGGAGACGGTGATCAGCCACGCGATTGTTTCGTCGGCGCGCGATATTTTGCGAGATTATCAATCCACGCGCATCTGGAGCAGCGGACGAGACTCACCATTGCACGTAGAGCTACCGGAAGATCAGCAATATCCAAATCGTCGGGCTCCTCGTTCCATGGCTCCTCAGCGAGAGCGACCCCGTCGCCAGTCAGAGCGCCGACCCCGGCGACTTCGTCGTTGCAGCCGCCTACCAATGGGCTACCTTGCTGCTGCATCATGCTAGGTGGACTATTGGCCTCGCTCTCCGACTTGACGCTGGGACTCGATAGACTCGGTGTCTTCGGATGAAGATCCTCGCTTCTGCTGGGACTGTGGCCGCCTGTGCCGGCCTCGTCGCTGCCTCCTCCGTCACCGCCGCCGCCCTTGTGCTTCTTGTTCGCGTAGAACTCCGCTCCGTGAACAGTCTTGACGTGTTTTCTCAGAGACGAAGGATCCGTATACCTTTTAGTGCAGCCAGGAGCTTTGCAGACGTACGGTTTCTGTGGGATGAAGGAGGCAATGCAAATCAAGCGATCATTAATATAATTTCAACTAATAATCGCGCTTAATTTAATCCCAGCAAACACCAAGTAACATAACTGTTTAGTTATAATTTCTCACTTAACAATATAACTGTTATATAACACACGTGTTATATTGAGAGTGGAAAATTATAACTAACGGTTATGTTACTTGGTGTTCGCTGCGACATGGAAAAAAGAAATATTTCTAGAAAATTGATCACTAACTTATGAACCGAAAAACAATGTCGATAAAATGATGATTCAGAAAACTTTTGGATCATAATCGTGTTAATTTGATATGGAAAGACGAAATATCCTTAGAGAATTATCTTACAACATTCGCGAAGTGCATGTCTCCGATTTCGATGAAACTTGGCATATTTATAGAGTGGCCAAAAATAAGAGAAAAATAAGAAACTACCCCTCAAAGTTTCATGTCCTTTTTACTATCTCTGTAACTATTGGTGATAGAAAAAACTTTTTAGACAAAAGTTATGCGATTTTTCATAAAAAATAAAATGGGTTAAAAAGTTTTTTTTCTATCTCCAATAGTTACAGAGATAGAAAAAAGGGCATGAAACTTTGAAAGGTAGTTTCACTCTTTAAACTTGAGCCATTGCCGATAAAAAATATGGGTTTTTTATTTTTGGCCATTCTATAAATATGCCAAATTTCATCGAAATCGGAGACACACACTTGAATGTTTCTGTTTAGTAGAAATTGTACCTCATGGATGTTTAACCACGAGGTAATAAGTATATGTCTAATATCGCTATCAGCCAGTAATGTAACATTTACTTTTGATTTCTTGAGATTTTTATGAAATATCATAACTTCAATTTTGATTTCCTTCCTAATTTTCAAATGTTAGTAGATATATATATATATATATATATATATATATATATATATATATATATATATATAATACGTAGTATAATATATAGTAGGTCTCTCTAGCTAATATAATCTGTTAATATTTTAAAGTAGATAACGCCATCTATTCTATTAATATATTGGGATTGATTGAGTACATTTTTAAAATATCCGGAAAACTCGTTTTTTCTAACAATCTATAAATAGCTGTACAATTAACGTTACAAAAATATGAGGAAATGTAAGGTAAAAAGGATGGCTACATATTATGTTAATTTTACGCTTATTTATTGATTGTTAGATCAAAAGAAAAATTCTTGGAATATTTTATAAATGTACTCAATCGATTTTAAGAATCACTTTATGAACAAATCCTTTTATGTCAGCGTATTTCGCAAAAATTTTGGACATGCGTTTTCTCGCTTCTGACGTCATTAATCAAGAAGTCCGCGGCGAGAGACGAGAAGTCTCAAATATTTATCTGAACACACATATCTTTCTATGTAATTTTATTTTTTTTTTACCGAAAACACGATTCAGTTTAGATAAGTTATGTAAATTTCTCTTATCTAATTATATTAAATTTTTTAAGACTGTACAGGTTGGTTACTAGTTTCTAACTCAAGTCAGTTAGATTTACATTTCTACCCAGATAATTACTGATTCATAAAATGCAAGTTATCAGCAAAAAAAGTACGACTAATAAAACTTTGGAATAATAACCGTGTTTAACTTGATTTGAAATAAAGAAAGCGTTCCTAGAAAATCAATTACTGGTCTATAAAATATTATCCAGCACTCATATACGTTTTATTCCTCTTGATCCTGTTTAAATATTCTTTCTTTCATTTCTTGCGTTGCAAAAGGTACACGACGAACTTACCTCATTGGAGTGCGTTCTGTTCTGATGCTTCGCTCTATCGCTGGCATTGCTAAAAGCTTTGCTGCATCCCGGGTACTCGCAAGTGTACGGTTTCTCGCCAGTGTGAGACCTGAGATGAGTCTTCAGATTTTCCAAGCGCGAGTAAGCCTTAAAGCAGCCCTCGAACTATGTCCGAACAATAGCAATTGGTTAATTGCGCAATAAGTTACATAAGAATCTGTTCGTGTTATAATTCTAATGAAACGCGCGGTATCTGCGATCGCGAACGGCGATCTCTTTGAGATATCTTAAAGTTGTTTTATCGGTGCATATATATCTGCATACGTTGGACTGTACGTGTAATTAATGCATACAAAAAGAACAGAAGAAACAAGTGGGCGTGCTTACTGTACACTTGTGTGGTTTTTCCCCAGTATGCCTTCTCATGTGCACGACAAGCATGTACTGAGCCTTGAAGGGTTTTTCCTCCCTCGAGCATTCCTCCCAGCCGCAAACAAAGCTCTTCTTGTTGGCGTGTATGTGATCGTTGTTGATATGCTTCACGAGATCGTCCTAGTTTGAAGATATGTGGATTAAGAACGGGTAAGAGCGCGCCTCTCGCTGAGAGGCGCAGACAAATCGACAGTGTCGTTTGAACTCTTTTCGCGGTCTAAGCGGTTTCAAGATTCTACAAAGTCCTCGAGTATCGATGTTTTATTTATAATTTCAAAGGACGCTAAGAAAAGAAAGACACAATTGTTTTTATACGTTAATGTGGAAATGAAGGACTCATCCGTGGTACTTACCTGTGTAGGAAACTCAAGACCACATTCCCTCCAATGGCAATTCGTCTCAATGAAATCGCCGGGCTCGTCTCTGAGGTCCTCGCTCGGACTGAGACCTTGAGGATGAGTTGGCGGAGCGGTAGTCGTGGTCGCGTTGGTGGTCGTCGTCGCCGGTTCCCTTTTCACTTTAGTGGAGGCCCGTCTCGAAGAGGTGTCGGCTTCAGCCGTCACTGAACGGGTCGACGATTCTGACGCTTTCCTACATGATTCTGCGCTCTGTGTGCAAACATGTAAAGGAGGTCTTAAATAAATCTGTACGATTAAATTTTAAATAAACCATTTTCTTCCACGTTCTATATCACACATACTTCAGGAGCTAGAAGAAATGATTGTGTGTGTGTAATTTTAAGAATGTATATTTTGTGACTCTCTGCTGTATATAATTAGTAAAATTTACAATCTAATAAAAGCTACGCAGGTTAATAGTTATAATTAATTAGTTATTTTATTGTGAGAGGATAATTATATTGACAAAATATTGTATGTGCTGAGATATTTCCTTAAAGTGACCGGGTTTAGAAGTCACACCGATCAATTGACACAAAACTCTATATCTCACTTAATAAACAGCGAAGCATGTTCTTGTTTATAATATAGCTTGCTTGTATTATATTAGTCGAATATGCGAAATAACTTATAGCACATGATACGTACTTTATAAACATAATCTCCTTTTTATTCTAAATGGAGACTATTTAAAGTAAGTTAAAGGGGTCGGGGGTTAGTTGTCACGCATTGGAAGACATGTCACGTAGCCGGTCGTAGTTTACGTATTAAATATTTACTTTAAGAACTATAAAGAACGTAGAGCGAAACATTTTCACTGTGTGCATTTATTTAAAAAAATTTAACGTTAAACATTTATTAAGATTATGTTATTTTGGAATTAGGAATAACTTATATATATATATTAATATATATATATAAGTTATTCCTATATATATATATATATATATATATATATATATATATATATATATATATATATAT